CACGGGAGACTTAGCACGTGTAGGGGGAAAGCAGGAATCAAAGACCTGCAGGAGCGCAAGAATATGAAGCAACAAATATCTGACAAATCAGGAATATTTAATAAATATCCTGATTTGTTTTTATATTTGTCCCCATGTCTTGTTTACACTTTTGACTGGCAGTGTCTGATTGAGAATGTTTAGTGGTTACATTGTATACCCAGAGGTTCTGTTACAGTGCTCTTTCATACAGACTCCTTCCTCGAGTGAAAACTGTTCCTTCCTCCAGAAATACTCTGGGACTGGAAGAGGTACCATGTTCTTTCATGGAAACGGGAATGAGTCAGACTTTTATAGTACCTCGTTGTTCCCTTTAAATGAGATGGTGTCACTTCTGTCTAGGTCAGTGGTGGCGAACCTTTTTGGGCTCATGTGCCCAAACTGGAGGGGGGGGACAGCGGGTGGTGTGCTGCCACGGCGGTGGCGGTGGCAGAACCAGAAGTGGCAGCGGAGGAACCGAAACTGGGGGCAGAAGGGGGAATCCCAAGCACAGAGGTGCCTAAAGACACCATTCTGGATCTGCCACCAGCACCCGCTGCTCCAGATCCTGACCTGCCGCCTGTACGGGCACCAGCACCGTGGTTGCAGCCACCTGCTCAGGTTTGGCTGCAGGGGGTGGTGGTGAGTAGCGATCCAGTGACTTATGGCTCACGTGGCAGCAGAAAGGGCTACGCGTGCCAGCTGTGCCACGAGTGCCATAGGTTCGCCATCACTGGTCTAGGTAATGAGATGGTGCAGTGGAAATAGTAATGCTTCTCTTTCAGCAAGTAGCAAATAAAGAATAAAGGAATACTCTTTATGTGAATACACAATGATGGGGAATCTGTAGGAGAACATAGAGGTAAAGAGGGAGAAAATAAATTTACATCACTTTTAGTTGGTTGTCATAATTTTCCTTCTCAAGTTTAGAATAGCATTATATCTTCTTTTATAAAACTTCTACGTTATGAAGTCCTGAAGCAAAATAAAACTGTTCAAAGAAAAGGTAGTGAGTTTTGCACAAATTCAAAACCCCTTAGCCCCTTAGATATTTTTTCAAAAGCAGAACAATCTGGCAGGGAACAATGACTTTTTCATTCAGTAAGGATACACAAATACTTTTCTGAAGCCTATAATAGCATTTCCAGCAAATGCTATTTTTCACTAGGAAGACAATAGGGAAGTGGTAGCTAAACATTTGGATAGGTGTTATGCAAAAGAATTGAAGCCCTAATAGCACAAAATGGATTTAGTTGAGCATTAAGTTTTTATTGTTGCTAGTGAACTTTCCACATCTGAGAAAAATGTATAAAGCTATAGACTTCAGCCACAAAGAAACTGGCAAAGACCAGATCACAAGGAAGAAAATGGGTTTCATATGGCTGTAGCTGCATCTGGAGGACACCTGTATGAAGACAGTGCACATGTGTCTGAGAATAAGCCAGATTGTGCTATAAACTTCTTTGTCTCCTCAATCTTAAGGGATCTCTTCTGTTCTGCATGCAACACTATTGATCTTCTCTTCCTATATTTTCTTGTTTTTAGATTTTTGGGTTCAAATCTGTTCTTTTTTGGGTTCAAATCTGTTCTTGCTGTTGCCCCTTTAAAGCATAGTCATCCCCCCACGCAATTATACTCTTGGCTTTGTCCTGCAATTTTGGTTTCTTCCTGCATTTGTGTGCCCACACTCTGTCTTTACTGCTCTGATACTAGTCTCTCTTGCCAGTTTTTATACTCTTTCTTTCTCTTATTTTCCTCTAGTTCTCTCTCACCAGAAACAGAATTGTTTCGAACCTAACCTTATTTCCCTCAGCCTTGATAAACATGATTTTATTCTTGTCTTACATCCAGGGTCTCACTGCATCCTGTACTCTGCTCAAGTATTATATTATACTATACTGCTCTGATACTAGTCTCTCTTGCCAGTTTTTATACTCTTTCTTTCTCTTATTTTCCTCTAGTTCTCTCTCACCAGAAACAGAATTGTTTCGAACCTAACCTTATTTCCCTCAGCCTTGATAAACATGATTTTATTCTTGTCTTACATCCAGGGTCTCACTGCATCCTGTACTCTGCTCAAGTATTATATTATACTATATATAAT